GGACGCGCCGCCCTCCCGCCCGCGGCCTGGCCGCGCCGCGGGGGAAACTGAGGCAGGCCCGGGTCGCCCACGCGCACTCGCGCAGAGGCGGCCCAGAGGCCCCCACAGAGCCTCTGAAGCCCACGGACACACCGTCTTATTTCCCTGGCCCGCATCTGAAAGAACTCCACCCGTTCCAGTCCCGCAGGGCCAGAGCGTTCGTTTTATGGATACGCAAATCCCACTGGCTTGAAGGTCAAGCAAATTTTAGTTGGAAATAGGGACAGGTTTTCCCATATCACAAAATCCTGCAGCATTATGGCTTAAAAAATAAAATTCTGGCTTCTGTTTGTAACCGCAGAGATGCACCCCAGATGTGATTGAGCCAGAAAAGGAGTATTCTGTGAGGCGGAAGCTCTGGGAGGCAAAAGCTAAGGAAAATAATTATGTTTCCTTTCTTTTTTAAGAAGGCAAATGATGAGTGCAAACCACCAAGATTTCCATCCAGAGACCACAGTTTATCATCTGACTACGGATTCAAGATCGCTAGACTTCTTTGGGGGTGAGTTTGCAGTCTCTTAAATTTCCTTTCGACACCAAATGGGAACACAGAACATAAACTCAAAGTCAGACACTCACCAAATGTCCGGGGAGAATGTCCTCTTCCCCTCCGTGCTATTGTTTAGGGGACAAAAACACTTTATAAATCCACATAAAATCTTAATTGAGATTTTAGTGCCCCTGGTTGTGTATGTATAGATGCTTGATCAGGGACCCCGTGCAGAATGTGATTAATAAGCTAACAGTGATGAATCTTTTTCTAGAAAAACAAATAGTATTTATTATACATGTGTGTTGTCCTAACGAATATTTCTGCTACCTTCTCTCTGTCTCCCATGACTGAAAGGAAACGTGGCATTTGTCTATATTTCTATTCACAAGCCTTCCAAAATGACTTTTTCCCTGGTTATAAAAATACCATGTGTGTGAGGAAGGCACAGGAAAATTGACATATAAACCATCTTAATGACAAGATCTGAACATAGATGTTTGAGATATACATAATTTCGATACTAAGTAAAAGTATAGGTTAGGTATAAAATGTACCAGAAAAGGGAAAATTCACCTACACACCATTAACCAGAAATAGTATTTTGTTATATTTCCTTCTCATCTACTGACCAGTGAACACAGGCGTGCAAGTATATAATTCACGTACAAATTTACTGGTAGGGAATATTGTATTCTATACTTTCCCTGCCGTTACAAGCTGTCAACAACATTTTCAGGGTGATATAAAGTGCTATTATTTCATTCTGGGGTCGTTTATCACCGTGTCCCATTGTGCTTCTCACTGGTGTTTCTCTCTTGTACCTAATACTGTAGCCCGTGAGTTTGCCTGTGAAATTTGTCTGCGTTGTGGGTTACTAACAAATCTCACATGATCTGTTGTTAGGACATTGAAGCTACTGTGCTATTCTAAAGGGGCGAAGGCTGACCCTGTGGATTCCACGTATTCTGTCCCAAAGGAGCTTGGCACTTCTGGAATTCTTTAGGGACCATAGTGACTCCAGGAAGCAAGATGGAAATCTGTTGGTTTCGCCCGCTACAAGCCTGGTACTGTGAAACTTTTGCATGCCAGTGTGTGGGACCGGCTAGGGCACATGCCGGGCTGTGATATAGTGTCTAAGGACAGTGCCTTGTGTCCCTGCTCCCCAAGCCACTTGGCCCTCACTCTGCAGCTCCCATTCCTTAGTGGACTTAAGGTCATCAAGCCAATGCGCTGGAAATAGTACCTCAACGACGTTGATCTAGGCTATTTGCCTGAGAAGGGGTCCTTGATTTAGCCAGAGTCTTTCTTTGCTGAGGACCCAACCCACCGGTTGATTTCTGCTACTGCCTCACATTGCAGGCTCTCTGTGTTTTCTGGGCGGCCCACCTGCTGTCCCTCCTTGCCCTGTCCTGCCTACCTACCTCCCCCACCGCTGTGTGCCACCGGCCCACGCCCGCAGCGCACCCGCAGCCTGGCTCTGCATGTGGCTGGCCTGTCCCAGCTGGGCTCCCAGAACAGCAGGGACAGCAGGCTGCTGCCAACCAGCCCTGGGCCTGGTCACTGAACACGCCAGGTCTGAGCCTTCGAGGGGGAGCGACTGCTGCCACTGACAAAGAGAAATACAGAGGGGACCAGAGGGACCAGACACAAAAACATTGTGGCATTATCTGGGAAATGATACTGCAAGAACCAACGAGAAGGAAGCACAGGAAGCCGAGACCAGAGGTGTCCTTGCGTGGGAGGATTGAACACTTTTTCCCTGACATGCATTTTTTAATATTTTCCAAATTGTCTACACTGAGCATACATTGTTTTCAGGATCAGAAAAGGACTAAGTTACTGACGTGCCTATGTCCTGTGGGATAGATACAGATACGGTTCCCATAAGAATGCAGTTACTTATTGTTACTGCTGAGGAGTTAGCGAGAAACTGCACCATCCATCCTCATATGCTGCCAGGAAAGTTACTGGGGCGATTCCGGTGCCTCCCATGTCCCTAGCACTTCGCCCTGTGGAACAGCACTTGGAAACAGAAAATGAAACCGGGCAGTGTTGCCAGGCAAACACTGGCTGCGGTTGTGTTCTCCGCTGCAGCCCTCAGCCGAGGTGGGCGAGGCTGGGCACTGTTCTCCCTCTAAGCTGAGGAAGCTGAGGTTTGGAGCAGGACAGGCACCTCGGCTTGTTGACGCTCCGGGTCTCCTGCGTCCCTACAGCAGCTTCCAGGCCGTTTTCCCTGGGGATCCAATATGCTTCCTGTTGTTCCCGAGGTTGTCCCCAGTACGAACAGCGGTACCCGCAGCCAGGGAGGGATGGCGATCAGCAGAGAGGCTGCTGGGTGTGCCTTGACATAATGCATTTGCACGGGTCCCCTCATCCCAGGAGGGGCACACTGCAGCTGGGGCTTGCGCAGGGAGGTGGCCCTGTGGAGGGCGACAGTATCTCAGCCAGGTGGGGATTCTTCTGCACAATGACCTGAGAGGCAAATGCCTCCTTGGAAGGAAAAATGTGCCCAGGAGGAGGGGGACTCAGCTCGCATCTAGGGGCCGCACTCTCCCCTGGAGGCCACTTGCTGCTGGGTACACCCTGTTTCTTACCCCCGGGGTTAACAGTGGGCCGTTTCCAACCCCTGCAGAACAGCCTTAGGGACCAATCTGCAAACCGAATTTTTTTTAAATCCTAAATATCTTTCTTTAAAACTGGGCTAAAAGGCGAACCAGCACACTGCTTTCTACTCTAAAAGGCAATTTCTAAATTTGGATTAAAAAAAATATACTCCAGCATGAAAATCCAATGGCTCTCAGAATGCAAGTGAGATATACCACACTTTGTGCTAAACCCATCCTCACTGGCTTAAAATAAATCAGAACAAAATGCTGTGTGCCGAGCACGTCTTCCATCGCCTCCTTTCTGGAGGGAGAGTGAGGCAAGCTGCCTGCCACACCCAGACCCAGCCCCGGTCTGTCCGTCCCTGGAGCTGCCCGGCCTGGATTCGGGTGCCCCCAGATGGGAACCCTGAGGCCCCAGTGTCCTATGGGACCTAACAGACCAAGGCTTTTTCCATGCCAGAGACAGCCTGAGCACCAGGCAGGGATTAAATTATAAAGTCAATAATTGCAGAAAACAATCAACAGGTAAGAGGACTAAATTGGACACATTTATTTCCTCCAAGGAGAACGTCTGGCACTTGTGATTTTTCAGCTCTAAGTAGATGGGCACATTTTCAAAAGACCTCTTATTCTACTTCCCCCTCTTCACATAGGCAAAATATTCCTGCTTTCTAAAATAAAAACACATGCCACTTTAACTTAGCAGAGAAAAGCCAAGCTGCAGAATCTTTGCAGAGATAATTTTTGTATTAAAAATGAGAAAAAGACTGCTATCTGGGTTTTATACCTACTGGGGGGAGCATCGTCTCTGAGTGTCAATAATTTAACTGTCAACTCACAACAAAACGCTAATCCTGTCTCGGAGGCTCTAGACTGGCAGCCTAGAAGGAGAGATTTTAATTGTAATTACTAAAGAGCAAACGCTGAGGTTAATAGCAAATGTTGCTTTCAGGGATTCTCCAGACAGGGCTGGGTCATAACTAATTTATTTTTATCTTATCCATCTATCTATGCACCGGATTAAAATATTTATATCAGTCTGTTCGCTTTAAGACACGCAGTCATAGGCACCAGCTTCAGGGCCACTCCTTCATCTTTCGCAGTTTTAGCATTTCATTGTTTGCAGAAATGCTGCCTTAGACCAGTGCGCACTTTCCAATGCTGGTGAGCCCTCTAAGCAGGGGGGTGGCCCACTGTGCCCTCTGACCGGGGAAACCTCTGCCCACGCTGTGTGACACCGCCTGGCCCCGGTGACAGCAACAGAGCCCTGCCGAAGCTACCTCCTGGGAGAGGCTGGTGAAGTCACGCAGGCCTGAGCCTGGCTCCCACGAGGGCGGTGGTCGGAGACCAGAGCCTGGTAAGAATGTGCCTGCCGGGTGGCAGGTAGGCAGCAGGCAGCAGGGGGTTAATCCAGGGAGCGGGGTGGGGTGCGCACAAACCCCACAGGCAGGGATGGGATGGAACACAGGCAAGCGAACGGGGGCTGCAGGGCCCAGCCCGACAGGCGCAGACACAGGGGGCTCTGTCTGCCTGCCCGCTGCCCTGGCACTGTGACTAACCGCCCCACTATTGTGAGCCTGAAGCCAGCCCTTTGTATGGTCCCCTGGCGTCTGGGACACAGGCGAAGAGCCCTCTCCAGCAGTCCCCCCTCTCGCTGAGATCCACAGCCCAACACCCATCCTGCTGGCTCCAGGGCTGCCGGGCTGGGGGCCTGGCGGGCCGTACAAGAGTCCTTTCCGTGGCCAAAAAGGCCAGCAGCAAAAGAAAGAAAGAAAAGAAAGCAAAGCAAAAAAACAGAGTCTCCCAACTTAGGGGGTTGGGGGGAGCGGCAGCAGTCCAGGGACCTGCTAAACCTGCACTGCCCAGGCTGGCGCTGTGTGTCCCAGGAGAATCTGCACTGAGACTCTCGGGGTTTGAGGACTCAGTGTGCACAAGCAGTGGCGGAGATCTTGGTGATTTCGCCTGCGCTGCACACGGGAGTGACGCTCTTTGGGGTACGCGTGTATCACAGCAGAGGAACTTCACTACTGCAGTGATTCTCACCTCCTTATTTTTGTTTTTTGAAAATGTGACCGCTGGGACACTCGCGGTTTCAGAGGTGGCCGTGTCTGGCTGGCCCGTTGTTCCTGCCAGCTATGGCGGGGCTGTGCTGTGGGTACACGGCCGTGCCTGGGCCTCGAGGTCCCCCGCTCACAGGGAGACAATGGGCTGCCACCCAGTGACACTGTGCCATGAGCCAGCCCTGCATTTGCCTGTGTGGGGAATTAGGACTTGTACACGTGTGTCCGGAAGCCACAGCAAAATGCACACGCATGTACACCAGCGTGGCCTGCACACACAAATCCAATACGTGACCACCGGCCCCGGCTCCCCTCCACGACAGGCAGAGCCCCCCAGCCAGCCAGCTTCCAAAAGCCAGAGTCACAGAGGCCCTGGCAGCCCCAGAGGTCCCCGGAGCCAGACCTCTGAGCCGGGCTCCGGCACACACAGGACCAGCCCAGGGCCCAATCTGTTTTTGAGGGACCAGGGCTTTTTTTGTCTTCCCAGGGCCTTTCCTCCATAAATATGAGAAATGATAATTTATGATTGTATTGGATTAGAGACCAATATAACCTAGGCTGAATTCATGACTATAGATCCACTATTTTTATAGTCATTTTTCTTTCTGATTATAGAGGAAATTAACTTTGAGACATCCTGTGGGGCCTCAGTGCTGTGCTTGGTGGCACAGGACCTGGGCACAGTCCCGGGTTCCTGCACCCCCAGCTGCGGCAGCGTCCTCTCCGCGTGTGGGCTAGCCTGCCCCTGGCACAGCCCAGGCTGCCCTCCTCACTTCGAACTTGCTCCTTAAGCCTCGCCCTGAGTACCGTACAGTGCCCGGGCCTCCCGCCCAGGCACCTGGGAGTAAGTACCCTGCTTTATTTTTAAAACGCAAAAATCGGTCATGAGAAAGGCCCAGGAGGCTGCAGTGAACAGAGGCTCCCCCAGCACCCTGTCCCCATGCCCCCAAGTGGGGCCTGGCCACCTTCAACCCCGGGCAGCCCAGCAAGCAGGCGCGATAACATGGCAGCGACTGGCACCGCGCCACAGCCCATGACGCACTGCGCCTGCGCGGGCACTGGGCGCGGTGACCCCCTCCACGCACTCCTGCTTGGGGGGCTACAGGCCCAGGACTGTGGCTGGGGCTGCACAGGGGGCCTAGATTTGCAGCGCCGCCCAGACCAGGCTGGTCTCCTCCCGCCGTCTGCTTCCCGCGTGCCACCCCCGGGCCTGGGCCCAACCCCGCTCGGGAAGGTGCAGGAGATGGTTAAAATTCTGCATCCTCTTGCATCCGCCTCCGGAGGAAGCTCTGCTTTTTTTTTTTCCCCAAGCAGGAGGAGGAGGGGGGAAGCTGAGAGCAGCAATTTGCAGGCCTTGGGATGTTTTTCTCCTTGACAGCCCCAGCCCCGCCTGCCTCGCCTGCCCCTTTCTTCCCCGCGCTGTGCGGTGCGGTGCTGCGCCGGCGCTGGCCCTGCCTCGGCTCCGCCGCTGCCGCTGGGCTCGGGCCGGCCCCATGCACGCGCGTCTCCCGCGGAGCCCAGGCCAGGCCCCGCGGCTGGGAGGCGGCGGCACTGCCTGTGCTGGCCGCCTGGCACTGCCCTCCTTTGTGCCTTCCTCCTCCGCCAGCCTGCTCTCCCTCGAGGCCTGCTCCCAGCCCGGCCGCACCACCTGCTGCCCGCCGATTGCCCACCCTGTGCCCACCAGGGGCGTCCTCACCTTCTGGGCCCCTGGTCCCTGGCCTCGGGTCCTGCTCGTGCCCAGGGCGCCCGGCCACGTCCTCTGCGCCTCTGCTGCTCGCCCCACCCCACTGCCTGCGCTCGGCGGCGAGCCTGGCACCGTGCCAGGCTGCCTGGGAGCCCAGCCCGGGCAGGGCGAACTTTCCGGCGAGGGTGTGCATGGGGGGATTCGGGGGCGAGGCTGGTGCCAGGGAAGGGAGTGGGCCCCAGGTGCCCGGCGGCTGCCCCCCAGCCTCTGGGCCGTCTCCTGAGCCCCATAAAGGCGCAGACAACGCAAGCGGTTTAGTCAAAACAGTCATGTGCAGGAGCCCGCAAACAAACAAAAGCCCTTATTTATTTATTTAGTTCACACACCCAGATAAGGAGGCGCCTTTTGTGCACATAATTTCACACACATCAGAAAGGAAACGATGCCACGATGCGCCCTGGAGCCCAAGAGCCCCGGACAGCCCGCCTGGCCTCATGAATAATTGCGTCGCCTCAGCCTGGGCATTTCCATATTTAAATTGGGCAGCAGCATATGATTAATTAAGAAGAAAAAAGGCAAAAAGGAAGAAAAGCATGGGGGTGGGGAGCCGGACACTGTGGCCAGCGCGGCGTGCCAAGGTGCCCGCTTCGCTTAACTCCTCCCATGCCAGGCTCAAGCAGGGGTGCCGCTGTGGCGGGCTCGGAGGGCACGCTGGCAGTGGCTCTGGCAGAGTCTGCCTGCGATGCCCGCCTTGGCCACCTTCCTGCGTCACAGGCCCTTCCAGCTCCAAACACCGGTGTTGGAAGTTTCTTTTCTGTCCCTATTCGGAGCACCTTAGGCTCAGGCCAAGCAGACGCTGGGCCCCAAGGGTCCCCAAGGGGACATCTGCAGCGGAGACAGCCATGCCGGTTGCTACACTGCACACTTCCACTCCACTCACACAAGGCCCGCCTCCCAAAGGTGGTCCCAAAGCCCTCTGGAGAGAACCCAGGGCCAAGTGGCACCCAGGACAGGCTATACCATGGGTGTACAGATTTGGGGTCCAGCGTCACCACAGTTTAGCCCTGCGCTTACTAACTGTGTGGGCTTAGGCGAGTTACCTAGTTTCTCTGGGCCTCAGTCTGCCTGCCTGTGAAATGGGAAGGACCCGAATGCATGCTCTCCTTGTGCTGAGCTAGGAGGGCCCTCTGACAGGAAGTGCCTCAGCCAGAGACCATGTCCAGCTTGGGCCAGAGCATGGGGCAAGTTGCTGGGAAATCGGCCCAAATCCATTGAGTGAACAGAGCTGAGCGGAAGGGAGGGCTTTGGAGCCTCTCAGGGGCCCCCTAACATTACTATCACCCCCATCCTACAAGTGGGGAGATGTGGGCAACATGCCAAAGCTCCCGAAGAACAGTGGCCTAGGATTTGAACTCAGAACAGCCCATGTGGGCCCTGCTAGGTGTTGGAGAGAGTCTTCTCCAACCATAGCACCCCGGCCTTGTTTCAGGTCACCCCACACTTTCAGGTCACTCCACAGAGCCCCACAGGGCAGGCAGAGGAAGGTGGGTTCTCCAGGTAGCTGTGTGTCCTTGGGAAATGAATCTACCTCCTCTGTTCCCCAGCTCTCTGGCCTAAAGTGTGGCCCTTAGCTTCCTGTCACTGCAGGCAGATGCTCGTACCACAGGGCCCTTCCATGACCATCGCCCAGCCCTCTGCCCAGGGCACAGTCCCAGGCACACGGGCCTGTCCCTGCAGGAAGCTGCTCTGCCAGCACCAGCTGCAGCCCTCAGCTTCCTCACCTGCAAGATGAGGGAAGGAGCGTTTGTGTCCGCAGGGTCCGGGGAGGGTGACAGTGGTGGCCCTCTGTGCTCAGGTGCTTCTACCACCTGGGAAGTGCATCACACACAGGGAAGAAGGCGTGTGCACGAGGATTGGTGGCCTCAGTTTCCCCGACCTTTCCAGGTGTGACCAAATGCAAGCTCCGGACTCAAAGCAGGAGGCTGAGCAGGAGCAGGAGGGGGGTGGCGTCTCTTCTGTCCTCATCCTCAGGGAAAGGTCAGGTCCCGGGGCCTGGGGGTCACCTTCTTGGGGCAGAGGGGACCGCGTTCCTTTGCGGTCAGAAGGAGCCCTGCAGTGTGACCAAGTCAAAGGCGTGAGCACTGGGATTATCCACATGGCCCAAGGAATCACATCGCCCTTCAAACCAGAGAACCAGTTCTAGCTGCGGCCAGAGGCAGGATGAGGGGACCACGAGCCCAGGGACACAGGAGGCCCCTGACCTGGAGCCTCGGAAGGAACCGGCCCTGCCGACACCTTGGCGTTAGCCCAGCGAGACCAGCTTCAGCCATATCAGACTTCAGACCTCCCTGGTTAAAGCACACCAACACCCGAACCTCAGCCTCGCTTAGCAGGCGTGCAGCCCGGGCTCCTCAGCGCCACACTGAAGAAAATAATACAGTAATCTTGCCAGGCGTGGTGGCGCATGCCTGTAATCCCAGCACTCGGGAGGCTGAGGCAGGAGGATCATTGCAAGTTCAAGACCAACCTGGGCTACAAAGTGAGCTCCAGGCCAGCCTGAACTGCATAGCGAGACCCTGTCTCAAAAAGACAAAAAAAGAATCTTGTTCCAGCAATGTGTCAGCGGTAGGTCGTTAGGCAGCCTGGGATGCTAAGAGTCTCTTCCTCCACCTGAGTGTGCCCAGGTGACACAAAACGAGAGAGAGAGACAATGCAGCCGTGTGGACACCTCAAGGACACACAGTGCTCACCTGCGGGACCTGGGGCCTTGGGGAGAATGCGCCCTGTGCACAGTCCCGCACTCGGGGCCTTCAGTCAGACGGGCTGACACCTCCTCTACCCAGGACCCTAACCTCACCTCCCGGGGCACTGCTGCTCCTGCCTCATCTTCTCCACCCCCCCACCGGCTCTGGCCATCTCGGAAGCCTTGCCCCGGCGTGGGCACCATGCTAAAGGCTACATCCTTCCAACTCTGCATCTCCCTTTCCACCTCCGACAGGCGAGTGATCCGGGCAGCCTATCTGGCCACTTGTGGGCCCCCACGCCCTGTCCAGAGTGTGGCAGGACAGGGGCTGTTTCCTGCGCTATCCTCCTTACCCCGGGGGTGCAGAGCCTCTGGTGGTCCATGCGGAGGACTTGGGCCAGGACCTCTACCTGTGGAGCCCCGGCCTCGTCTGTGAAGGGCCAGTCACCGAGGCTGGGCCGTCAGTACTGCCACCTACCAGAGACTGCGGCTCGGGCGCTAGGGCGTGCTGGGCCTCCAGAAACAGCCCCAGGACTGGAACGTCTCCCTAGCTGGAGGCCCCAGCATGAAAGCCTGGTTTTACCAGCTTAGGAAATAGAGGCACAGCAACGTTCTTCACCGTGTTTACAGGACAAAACATGGGAGCTCTTGGGAAGAACCCGGCTGCCCAGTAAAAAAATTAAAGAGCAAAATAAAAGGTAGATAATAGGAAACAGGGAGGTGGAACTTTTGCAAGTGGGAGGGGCCAAGAGAAGGGGGGAACGGGCGGGGGGAGGACCGAGGAGGGACCAGAACCTAAGGAGAATTAAGATGTGTTATGTCCATGGCCAATTCCCCACCATGAGCTAATCATTACATACTGCAAACAGGGACTCACAAAAATAAAAACTGAAAAAGGGGTAAGTTAAGGAAACTCACCCAGTGGAACATTAACTACTCAGTAAAATTGCTTTGCTGACCAGCATCTTCTGATGCAGGCAAAGTGTGGTGATCAAATATGTAGGGAACCACTCAGAAGGAAAAATGATCTACAGTAACAAGAGGCCTGGATACTAATTTAAAAAAAAAAAAAAGTTCTGCACGGAAACCGGGTGAGGTGTCCCCAGTAGCTGAGCGTGGTTGCAAAGGTGATGGAGAGAAGGTCTCGTTCTTCTGGGAGAATTCATGGTGCTCAAAATGACAGTGGGGCCAGGCGTAGTGGGGCACACCTATAATGCCAGCATTCAGGAGGCTGAGGCAGGAGGATCATTTCGAGTTTGAGCCCAGCCTGGGCTACAAAGTGAGCTCAAGGCCGGCCTGAACTGCACGGAGAGACCCTGTCTCAAAAAGACCAAAAAAAGAAAATGACCGTGGAACCTCAGTAATGGCACCAAACACCCATTCCAGAGAGGCTGCGCTCCCCTGGCCAGGCACCGCCTGCGGGTTGTGCTGCCTGCTGTCACTTGGATCCGTGCACTCAGGGCAGCGTGGGGTCCACGAAACGTCCTGCCCTCACTGTCCTAAAACTCCCCATCACTCTCAGCAGGGCCACAGGCAGTCACCCTGCACTGGCCGGCAGCAGATGGCAGCGCTCTGACACTGTCCTGGCCCTATGCAGCCAGCCTCTGTAGCGGTCCGGTCTACCCTGCCCTCCGTGCGTCCTTTTCTTCTCATATTTTGTCCAGGTTTTCCAAACTTTGGGGTATGAGGACTGTGGCCCCAGAAAAGTAAAGCCCAAGTCTGCTGTCCCCCGGGGCGGAGTCAGGTTCAGAAGGAGGTGCACCGGCTCGCTAGCTCAGCCCTGGGATTGCTGAATGTGCTGCTGGCCAGCGGGAAAGAGCGCTCTGTTCCACAGAAACACACATCGGCCATTTGCGATGCTTTTTCTGGAGACTGAAGTCAGCACCTCTGCCAAGTCCTTACGACATTCTTATGAGGTGCTTGTGTTTTCCCAGGAAAAATTAGATGCCTCAAACGCTGAGCCCCTGTCCCAGAAGAGAGCGCCTCCATCAGTCCTCCCAGCAAAGGCTCAGGGAGGCTTCCTTCAGTCAGCGGCTCCCGCCACATCACCGCCATCCCTGTCCCAGGTGGCAGTCAATAGACTGCACAGCCAGAGCAGAGGCGCTGTTCAGGAACTGGCTTCCCTGGATGGAAGGCCAGCCTGGAGACACCGTTCTCACGCTTTTGTCCGCTGCCCTGTCCCTGGCGGTTACACCCAGAGCCTTACCCCTGCTACATCCCCAGCCCTTTTTCAAATTCTTTTTTAACTTTTGAGGCACTATATTGTTAAGTTGCCCACGCTGGGCTCGAACTTGTGATCTTCCATGGGATTTGGGATGTAGCTCAGTGGTAGAATATTTACCTAGCACAGAAGCTACCCTGGTTCAAATCTCAGCAGCAGGCAAAAACAAAAACTAGTGATCCTCCTGCCTCAGCCTCCCAGCGCTGGGATTACAGGCATTCAGCACCATGCAGGCTCTGGAGCCGTCATTACACGGGGCAGCCAGCAGCACAAAGTCTCTCGGTCCCCAGTGCCAGCATAGACGTGGGCACAAGAGACAGGCTCAGAGATAAGAAAACAGACCCAAAACAGAGGGAGACGCAAGCAACTCAGAGTGGACGAAAGACGCAGAGACAAACTTGCCGTGCCAGAGACGGAGCTGGAGGAGGCAGGGGCTGAGGGTGCCCGAGCGCTGGCTGTGCACTTTGTATGCCAAGTGTCCATGAGGATTGCTTCCGTCCTCCTGGCACCACACCTGGGGCAGAACTATCATTGCCCCATTTGATGGGAGGGTAAACTGAGGCTCGAGCAGCAAGGTCAGCCTGCTAGGCCTGTCTCACCACACGCAGAGCTGGCCCTGCTGGTTGCCACTAGGCCCAGGCTTTCAATACCAGGGTCAGGGGCAAAGTTCAAATTCAGGTTCACTTGCCTTCATCACACGCCAGCCACTTAGGAGCAGGGTACAGCCACTTCCCCGTCACCCCAGTGCCCTACAGCCCCTAGGGATCTCACCACGGAGGGTACCACATGGCCTGGGGGTGGCTGTGAAGGCACAGATGCTTTCTGGAGCCTGGTTCCCAAGCCCTCGACTTAGGACCCTGGTTAAACTCAGAGCAGGAGCAGGCTGGGGTGGTGGGCAGCAGTGCCCCACACACTTCCCCTGGGATCCAGGCCCTTGGGGGCCTCTTTCCACAGCTGCCTGGGTCCCTTGCACCCGCCAAGCCCACTGGCACATGGCTGCCCCAGACAGGGCAAGCAGGGTGGAGGCAACTGCGATTTCTGCCCAGCAGGGGCACCCAGGATGGCCACGGTGAACCCACTCAGGCTAGGGTGGGGAAAAAGCCCCAGCGGACCCCTAGCTCTTGTTGCAGTGCTGAGGGGCAAACTACCCACAGTCCCCTCCCCTGGTCCTGGCTGTGTGCAGAGCTCCGGGCCTTGGAGGGTGGCACCAGAGAGCTGGGTGCCATTGCTGGCCCTGCTCCCCCCGGTTCCCAGCAGGGCTGCTGCAGAGGGAAGCTAAGGACCCCTGTGATCTTTCCCCTTTAAGAGCCCTGGTGGCGCAGCCGAGGCCCGGGAGGGAGATGTCGGGAAAGATTCCCTCCCCAACTTCCCGGCCTTTGTTCCTGACCAGACTAGCCGGGAGGGCGCGGGGCGGGGCGGGCCGCAGCTGCGCCGCAGGCGGCCACCCCGGGGCGCTACCCACCCGCAGTGCGACCGAAGGACCCGCCCAGCTGCCGCTGACCTGGTCGTCCTGCGCGCCTGCGGAGCAGGGTCAAGTTCACGTGAGGCCGCTGCAGACTGTCCCTGAGCTGCCGGGCCTGGGTCCCTGCTGAGCCAGGCTGGGCACCGCTGTCACCGGGCCTAGCCACCCCAACTTTGTGCACAGTCGCTGAGCTGGAAGTTTCCGGGCTTCGCGGACGCTGGGCTGGGTTTCAGCAGCGACGTCTGAACTTGGCAACAAAGAGGGAAAGCGGCCCGGGATAGAGGGAGGAAGACAGACCCCGAGAGAGGGCCACCAGGAGAGCCCCAGAACGCGAAATTCCACCGCACTCACGCACGCACGCACGCACGCGGTTTTGTTTTTTTCTTAAGCGGTAAACAAGAAAGAACATCCCAGTCTAGGCAGCCCCTCCCCGGCCCGGTCCCTCCCCGGGGCGGCTTCCCTGGCACCTGAGATGTGACAGCTCACTCCCAGGGGCACCTGGGGCACTCCCAAGGGTGCCGGCTACAGTCTGGGGGAAAGGAGTGGGCACAAGATGCTTCCTAGAGGCAGGGTGGGGGGACGGCACAGAGCACACCCCAGGGTGGCAGCAGCTGGAGGAGGGTAGGGCTTACTCTTGCACACCCTGGCACCCCACTCCCGGAAGCCTGGGATCCCAGGTAGAGCAGAGAGGAGAGACGGCTGGAGCTCCACACTCGGGCCCTGGGCTCAGACCTGTCCACTGCGACCCAGCCCAGGGCCTCCTGGGAGGGGGCGTTTGTGGCTGTGCATGTGGGGGGACCTCCAGGGAGGGCGGTGGGTCGGTGATGCCCTAAGCTGGCTCTGAGCCGCACTGGCCAATCATTTTCTGCCCTGGTCTCTGCCTGGCTTCAGAGGTCCAGAGGGCAGGGCCCTGGGTACACATCCGGGTTGGGGAGGAAGCTCGGGGGCTCAGGTGTGGAAATCTTTGAGGTGCCCAGGCCAAGTCTCCCGAGCCTGGCAGGGCCCTGCGAGCACTGGACGTAGTAGCACTGAGGGGCACAGCGGGCAGCTGCCGCCCAGACTGGGTG